TATCTATCTATCTATCTATCTATCTATCTATCTATCTATCTATCTATCTATCTATCTATCTATCCATCCATCCATCCATCCATCCATCCATCCATCCATCCATCCATCCATCCATCCATCCATCCATCCATCCATCCATCTATCTATCTATCTATCTATCTATCTATCTATCTATCTATCTATCTATCTATCTATCTCTATCACTATTTCTATCTCTTTATCTCATTTCCATCCATCTCCATCTATATCTATTTATATCTGTATCTGCATCTATATCTATCATCTATCTTTATCAGATATATCGATATCATATATCTCTATCTCTATACCTATCATCTATCCATCCATCCTTCCTTCCATCCATCCATATCTAATAGTAGGGTTATAGTTAAAATAACTCAAGATTTTTATTTAAAGATTTTTAATGTAGTTAATGTTTTGTTTTAAATCCTGGGGAAACAATGGTGAGTGAAGGGCTTAAGGAAAGCTTAAGAATGCAAGACAAGTTAGGCTATTGGGTCAGAGCAAGGCCTATTATTCAGCACCAGTTTGCCAGTGTCCAGAAGCACACAAATAAATTAACACACTCTTTCAGCAGTGTTTTCCAAAACTGGTACAAAGAGCTATGTTGTCCCTGTACTTAAAGCCATTAGGTAATCACTGACAATCTCTTACCGTATTAGCAGACAGACACCTTCCTGATGGGTTTTAGGATCTCTGAGTAATGTCCATATACTCACTTCTCTGATTTCTGCCAATGATGGGTCACAGGTGAGCTTTAATACTAGAGCCTTCAGGCTTGACACAGAAAGTCTATCCAAGAAAAAGAACATCAGCATAGAATATCAAAGCCTCCAGCCCTCTACGCTTGTGTGTTAAGAGTGATATTTAATAGTAGCAGTTTATGTCGGCCACGTTCATGCTAACTAGGAAATCCTTGTTGGAAGCAAATTTACTTTATAAGAAGTTCTCGTTCCACTGTTACAAGAAAAGCCAAGCTGTTAAGAGAGGAAGGCTTACCTGCATGGGTTGCCTTCAGATAGTTGTTGTTCTCTTAGAAACAGCTTCCGTCGGCCTTCAGATAAAGGCATCTTTTGCCCCAAAGTTTTGCTGACCTGCCATAGCAGAGCACAAAAGAGCTCTGGGAACACCTGCTGGAGGACTTTTTTCACTTGCAGTACAGAAAGGATTTCATAGATGGCACAGGTGGCCTGGGAAAAGAAAGAAGAGGAGACTGAAATCTGGAATTTTCTTTCCAATCCCTGATAGTGGAAGACAAAGCTTAATGTAATAGACATTTAGGCTTCATGAGGACCTTTCCCCCAATCACATGGTTCATTAAATTGTGACTTTATCAAAAGTTGCCCCAGGCAATATAGGGTTGTTTCCAGTACTATTGGGAGGAAAGAGTGAACTGCAGGAGCTAACCCTTAACTGCACCCTTTATTTTCTAAGTCCACAGATTCAACAAGCCACAGATTCAAGAAGTGGAAATAGTACTCCAGGATTTTTGAAAGATATGGTGCAGTGGTGCTGAGATAACATCTGCCAGCTCCTTCAGAACTCTGGGATGTAGTCTTCGGGTCCCAGTGATTTATATTCGTCAAGGTCAGACAGGTGTTCTCTTACCATTTTCTTGCTTATTTTAATTTTTGTTTCTAGTTTGTCTTTTGCAGTGGATTTTTTTGGTATGTTGGGCTGTAGTTTCTTTTTGTGTGAAGACTGATGCAAAGAATGAGTTAAGCAGCTCTGCTTTCTCACTTTTGCCTGTTATTTCCTTGCCATCCTCTCTCTTTAGCAGACCTACAGTTTCCCTAACCTTTTTCTTGTTGTTAATATGTTATATTAATTATATGTTATATTAATATGTTAATATGATGCCCAATAAAACAGATGATGCACCTAGTGACAAAATGTCATAAAAGCTATGTCAGCTGCATTTCTTGGGAGAAGTTCTACAAAATTCATGACTCTGCCAAACTTATCTCATACTTATAGAAACAAACATTAAATGTTAATTATTGAACTGAAGGAGAATGGTTAGGGAAAATTAAAAAATGCAACTTCAGTTTTCCTGCTAACACTTGTTGAATTTTTAGATTAATAGTTAGGACACCCTGCCATTTCTAGATACAGCACCACATTAGGCCTTTTAAAAAACGATGTTATTTGTAGAAATAGAACTTCTGTTATTTATTTATTACATTTATATAGTGTTTTCCATACATGTCTTCCCATATCCTTGCTTGAGAACATTTATTAGCATTGATTGATGATAACTAACTAACAAAAGTATTTTTAACACTGTTCTGCAGAGCTTGAGAGTGTTAGTAAACTGACTACCTAGATGGGGCCAATGCACAGCTATGATGATTCAACATTCTTCAGCAGTCACATCATTTATCTCCATTTTTCTAGGAATCTCTCAGAATAAATGAACCTCTATTACAAAAGACTCCAGTTATCTAATGCTTAGGCCATTCAGAATGCTAATGTCTTCTTGAAGAGATTCACAGAAAAAAACCCTATTCTTCCTCACTTACTTTGAGAGGATCTTCTTCAGCAAATTCTACAATATCCTCATTTGTGAAGTGCAAAATTGTTCCTGAGTCTGTGGATTTTGTTATTCTGCTTGCTAGCTTTGGAAGGATGAGCAAGGCCAGGGATGCATCTTTACCCAGAGATCTCCAAAGTTCACCTGTCTCACTAAAATTCAGCAAGGCAAAAGAAAAGCATCATCTCATAAGCTTTGCACCAATTCAATAAATAAAATATGCATTGTCAATACCTATATGGGGTGTAATTTAAGGCAGAATGCATAATGTATAGTGCCACTTATTTCCTTCTTTCATCTTTTTTGATGCCAGTTAACAATCACAAAATTGAAAGCTACCCTTGACACAAAATACACATCTCTGTCTTAAGCACATGAGTTATGCAGTAGTTTTCAACCTTTTCTTCACCATGGACCCCCTTTAAATACCTTTTGTGGCCATGGACCATGGATCACTGCAGATTTACTTGAAGATTAAAATCATAACATTTCTTCAAGGCTTCATGGACCTCCCTTTGATGACATTGAGCGCCCTCAAAGTGGACCACAGGATGAGAACCACTTTGTATGCAACAAGCAGATTCCCCCCATCCCTCCCTCCTTTTCCTCTATTTAGAAAAAGTCAAGGTCAATCAGACACTGCTGTACAAGAGTTCTATTTCCTGATAGGCTAATATAATATAAATGTTCAAAAACAGTGATTACATTTCCCTAGCCTTTTCTCCTCTCCTGGGAATCTAGGTACAAAAAGATATACAAGTCAAAGGTTGGTTACTCTCCTCCTTAAACTCCACTAGCTTAAATCCAAAGGTTCCCTGGGTCTGTAGAGCTGACATAAAGAAGTCACCTTCTCAAACAACTATAGATCTTGATTTAAATTTGGTCACATACCTATCCATTGGAAGACGCCGGCATAACAGGCTGCTAAACACAGCTTCCAAATGAAAATGGGCTACAATGGACAAGGCATCCATGAGAAATTGTCTTAGGTCATCCTGCTTGATGATAGGCAAGTGACTGTAGAAAACATCCAGGACTGCTGAGATCTAGAAGGAGCAATGTAGATACCTGCACTCCCATTTGTTAAGCACGTCAAATAATAATTGCACATAAAGGACTTGGGTCATCCCCTTAAATTTAACAAGTGGCTCTTACTGATATCTAATCTTTTGGGTACGAATTTCTAAAGCAGTCCAAAAATTATGTACAGCTCTAGACCTACAATTGCCTATTTCTACTATAATTAGATTAATTGCAATTTTAAGAAAGTTTACATAAATGTAAGAGCAGCTGTCTTAATCATCCTTAATAGGAAATACTTAAGTGATACATAAATAGGTATGTCTGAATCTGCCCGCCAAATCTTCTTCCCACATTTGGGAGGGGAGGAAAGTCATGCTCTACCCACTGGGCACTTGCCCTCCTAAAATGTGTTACAACTAACTCCTGGCCACCAAAAAATGTCCACCCTACTTTATGTGAAGCAAAGTTTTAAAAGTCCATTTTGTGACAAAGAATCACCTGTCCTTCCATTGCATTACCACAATCTTGAAGGATGGTTAGGAGCCAGTGACCAGCAGAAATGGCACACATTTTGTTTCCAGACACTAAAACCTCCAGGATGCCCTCGACAAAATCAAGGCCTTGATCTGGTGGAAAATAAGCACTGACCACCTGTCAACATACCAGAAATAGATGAGATTATAAGAAATCTATAGCTCATCAGTTGGTTCATGCTTTATTTGCTTGTTTATATAATTTACATCTTGTTAAAGTTGGAAATGTTTATGTGATAGATTCAAAATTACACACCCATGATATAAACGAAAATAGTAATTAAGCCAATTAAACAAAATCAACACCCATCTAATTAATCAATAAAAATAACAAGATTGTGAAGTTTAACTCCTGATAATGTTTTACTGAACAGTTCAGTCTTTACCATCTTCCTGAATGCAATCAGATAGCAGACTAATATGATCTGCACACTAAGAGCTACTAAGAACCAGCTTCTGGCTTCAGTTTCCTTTACTTCCCTAATGTAGGGGCCAAAAAGACTTTTCTCCAAATTAATCAAATAGGTTGTATTATGAAAATATAGCTTGGAGGGCCTTTCCTGATTCTCATCATTCCCTTTCCAAGATGAACAAAGATTCCAGACAGCATTTACTCAGTGTCCTGTCCCCCCGCCCCCCCAAAAAGAAATCCTTGCAGCTCAAATCACAATTACAAATAAGGAACAGTTGCTGGAATTGAGTATGTCTAGTTTAACGAAGAAAAGGATGAGGGGGGACATGATAGCAGTGTTCCAATATCTCAGGGGCTGCCACAAAGAAGAGGGAGTGAAGCTATTCTCCAAAGTGCCTGAAGGCAGGACAAGAAGCAATGGATGGAAACTAATCAAGGAGAGAATCAACCTAGAACGAAGGACAAATTTCCTGACAGTTAGAACAATTAATCAGTGGAACAACCTGCCTCCAGAAGTGGTGAATGCTCCAACACTGGAAGTTTTTAAGAAGAGACTGGACAACCATTTGTCTGGAATGGTATAGGGCTTCCTGCCTGAGCAGGAGGTTGGACTAGAAGACCTCCAAGGTCCCTTCCAACTTGGTTATTCTGTTACCTTGGCCATTTTGGAAGATGCTCTGAGAAGATCCCCCAAAACCTCTATCTGTAGATTAGCATAAGCAGATTCCATTTCTTTTTCTTCCACATATGTAGCTTGTGACCTCGCTGAAAGAAGAGAGAGAGGAATGATTGAATCATTTTCTGACTAGTTCAGCTTCTGCCGAATGCCTACTTTGTTAAATATAAGACTAAATATTGTTTTGGTTTTGAGCTGATGATTACTCATTAGGCAGAATCATCAATTAACATCCCCTCAGAAGTATAGGTGCTATTTTATCAGAATGAGATCTCCAGCAGAGATCTGGTAGAATGATCCAGCCTTCCAGATGAAAGGAGGAATGTGTTAAAACCATTTTATCTAAAGACTTGTTGAATTTTTCTTAACACTCAGGTTGAGCCTTGAGGAAGCAAAGTCTCCACCACTGACGATCTGATTTGACCTGTCTTTTTGCAGGCCTCTTGACTTCCATTTTATTATTTGCTTAGTAACATATAAATTAAGGAAATATGCATGTTCTAAACCTCCCTTATCTTCTCAACCAACAATCCTGATCCTGCTGCCTTTAGAGTTGTGTTGATAAGGATAGTGATCAACTGTATGCCTTTGGTTCCTTAGGCCTTTGATTCTTGTGAAGGAAACCAAACAAAGATTGGGAAGCCTTTATTCATGCAATGTCCTTACCTTGTATATGAATGAGGCAGGTGATGCATTGGGCAGCCCACTGCCGGCATTGGATGGAATTGTCACAGGTATATGGAGCTAGGAATGCAACTCGGGACCCAAATTGTTGAAAATGTTCTCCTTCCTGCCAAATAAGGAGGAGAAGAACAATAAGGAAAAGAGAAAGAGATTATTTTAAAATATACTGGGAAAAATCAGAATATTTGAAAAATTTCCCTTCTCCCAAATAACCTACATTTATGTACAATAAGTGTGAGATAAGCTGTGACTAAACACCAAACTATTTTGCCTCTCCATATCCTTCCATCCTTGAAAAGGATCCTTGCTTCTTCCACATCGATATACTATTTTGTGCACTGCCTTTTATTCTTTAAACTTCTTATCACACTGTTTTAGTTCCATTAAATCGTGCTTTTTTGTCTTCCCCTTTATTTCAGTCTCCATAATTATCTTATTTTGGGGGAGGGTGTTCTGATTTGTGTGTGCCAGCACTTTCAAGTCAGTGTTGACTCCAGATGACACTTTAGACAAATCCATGCAGTTTTCTTGGCAAGATTTCAGAAGTTACCATTGCCTGCTTCCTAGGGCTGAGAAGAACTGACTGGCACAAGTCAACCCAGCTAACTTCGTGTTTAAGATGGGACTAGAACTCACATTCTCCTGCTTTCTAGCCTGGTGCTTTTATCTACTACATCACATTATGTCTCACATTCTGATACACTTAAAGTCTGCCATAAAAACATGGCTATACCGATGAAGTCATCGGGAATCATGTTTGACTCAAGGGAATCCTTATCTTTCACCTTTCCTAGAAAAGCAAATGAGGTACCTGTGCCGCCAACATTTAGAACCCATCTGAAATAAAACATTTTATCAAGACTTTTTGAGATAGGCTATGAGATTTGGTGGACTTAGTTTTATTGGTTAATTTTACTTGCTTATGACTCTGTTACTGATCTAATGGGGTTGTTTTGACATTGCTGAATTTTATTTGGCATTATCTACAGCAAGCCACTACAAAACAGAACACATTGATCTTTTTTTAAAACAGACCTAATAAATAAAAATTCAAATGTGAGTGGCACACTTGGCTTGGAGATTTGGCTAAATGAAGTCATTTGTAACATTTGGCATTGCTTGAGACTGGGACACAAATTTCTTTCTTCTTTGATTGGATATATTTCATTTCCTAAATTCTCCCCTCCCCATTCAGAGCAGGATACCTGATTCCCAGGCCAAGAGTGGTTGGGCAAGTTTGCCCCTCAATCCAACTCATGTAAACAGTGCTACTTTTCTCCAAGCACATAATACAGGGGTTCCCTGGGGGTGCAAGATGATATTCCAGTGGGTGTGAAAACTTGGGTTTTCAAAATTATAATGTATATGCATAATCCGTTGCTGTTACTTCGAACTTTTGTAAGGGGTGCGAGAATATATCTGAAGCGTTCTAGGGGTGCGGGATATAGAAAAGGTTGGGAGCCACTGACATAGTATAAAGTAGTACCTATGTGCATATATATGAGCAGGGGGTTGGACTTGATGACCTCCAAGGTCCCTTCCAACTTGATGATGATGATGATGATGATGATGATGATGATGATGATGATGATGATGATGATGATGATGGATCATCGCACAGTCAGCCAGATGTTCAGACTGGATTTGGCATTTTGTCTACCTATCGAGTCCTTACCAAGGACCTGGGATATTATTATTATTATTATTATTGTTATTATTATTATTATTATTATTATTATTATTATTATTATTATTATTATTATTATTATTAATTTAACCCAACATTTACTCTAAACATAGGCTTTCTAGTGTTTCTCTCGTCCTGGTTAATTAGAATATAGAATAATAACTTTATTGTCACTTTGAATGGTACACTAATCGGTATACATTAAAATGAAATTTTGTTGCATACAGCTCTCAAAGGGTCACCACCTCTGATATACAATACATAAATATGACAAAAATAAATAAATAAATACAGAATTATTTATACAATAATTAATAATAAATAAATAAATATTAAATAAATAAAAAATATCAAGCCCATTTAAGATAAACATCTAAAGGCTGAAAGAATAAACCCAGTAAGCTCTATCCTAGTGTTCAAGAGATCCTAGTGTTCAATATATGCTCCAGATGAATGAATGAGGTCTCTTGTCCCCTCACAGATTGGCAGCAAGGAGAAGAACAGAAAACTCACAGGGAGATTAACCTTCTCCTGAAATGCAACAAGGGCATGGAAAATAGCTTGCAACGCTCGCTCTCTGCTCCATTCTGTTTCGCTGAACCAAGGATCTATGAGCTGTTGACCAAGCAAGGAGACAGGAAGGATGGTATCAGAATCTGTCATAGATTTCTCCAGTAATTTTATTAATTATTTCATTCCATTTTGAAATCAGGTTTCCCCCACATTGCTATCTAGAGAGGCAGACCTTTTGGGAGGAAAAGTCATGTATGGTGAATAAAAGAAAAAAAACCCAAACCCTTTGCTTCTGCTAGATACCTGCATGACATGAGACGTGGAAAACCTCCCATTGGAGACAATAGTTTCCTATTTTTTTCCCATCTTGGCTATGGGAGCATGTGTTTTCATGATGGGGGAGAGAATCAAGGCATAGACACTAGGGATATAGGTCTGGTAGATTTTTTTTGGGGGGTAACATAATAATAATTATAAATAATAATAAATCTAGTATTTTCTATGAGGCTTGAATATTGCATTTAAAAAAACTAAAAGCACTGGTATGTGGAGAAAACTATTTGCATTGGTATATTGTTGGACAATAGGCAATAATATAATATATAAGGATAATGCACATGTAGTTTTTCAAGTTTTTAGAACAATTGTCTGACAGATTTAGAGAGGATTGGGTGAAGAAATAGTCTTTCAAATGCAGTATGATTGCATTTCATGAAACATATCATGCTTCAGGACTAACATTTGTCTGCACATATAAAAATGTTAGCCTAATTGAAAATACTGTGTTTATTGGGATAACATCGGATCGCTATTTTTATACAACAGTATTTGTGTCTTGTAATTGAATGTAAGAGGGATACCAATCACTGTGATGGCCCTAATAGATTGAGTAATGCAAGAACAATGTTTTTTTACTTTTATTTCAAATACTTATACCTTGCCTTCCTGCTAGAGGGTGTTTAAATCGGATATAAAAAAATTATAATGAATAAATCAGTCTTCAAGTCATTCATCATGTGGTATTCTGACAGCCAGCTTTTCACAGATGTTGTCTTGCCCAAATTGTTTTATCCCTTTTATCATGCTATCACAGAGTTGGATTCAATGCCCAGTTGCAATGCGATCAACCTTTCATACACAGAATGTGATGAAATCCTAACTGTAAATCAACCAGTCAAAAATTGGTTGAAATGGTTGAGCCACTATACTGGCTGCATATTGCAGATTAACTAATGTCAGCAAACAGACATTACTCACCTGGAACATTTCATCCATTAGCTCAGATGTTGGGTGTTCCTCCACCATGCTCCTCACAAGTTTCCCAAAAGCATCCATTGAATCAGTGTAGAGCGACTAAAAACACAATGCAAATAGTGAGGTCTAGGAGCCAAATTAGGAGATCCATCAGAGGATCATTATCTTCTGATTAGCTCACCATAATCACTTATTTGTTTCCAAACTTTATTAATGGTT